CCCTCACGCGGCCTCGCCCTTTCCCAGCGCCGGCATAGCTGTGGGGTTCTATGGCAACGGGGAGACCAGCGACGGCGTTCATCGGGCCACCTACTCGCTCCGCCACGCCAACCGCACGGTGGCGGGGGTCCAGGACCGCGTGAGTGGCTGCCGAGGTGGGAGGGGGCGCTCTTCCTACTGCCAGAGCCCCACCTGCAGGCGTGGGGAGCTTGTGGACGGGTTGGGCGGGCAGCCAAGAGGTGGGCAGGCGGTGCGTGCGGGCAGCCCCTGCGCCGGCTCACGCGCCCCCTGGCGCAGGTGTGGGACACTGCAGCCGCCCTGAACCTCAGCGCGGAGCCCAGCCTGCAGAGCCTGGAGCAGCAGCTGGCCGCAAAGCCCGAGCCCCTGCGGGCAGTCGTGCGGCTGCAGGGCCTGCTGGACATGCTGCTGGGCTACACGGCTGCCATCCCGTTTTGGAGGAACGCAGCTGTGTCCCTGGAGACGCTGGCTGAGCAGGTGGATCTCTATGACTGGTACAGGTGCGACCTGGCACTCTCCTGGCCCCCCTACTGCCCCGGGTTAAGCTTTTTTCCTTCTAAGGTCCAGGCAGCTCCCAGCACCCAGTGCCTGAGGTTTTATGGGTTGAAGGGGCTGGGTCTCCAGCAGCTACTCTGGCAGGAGTCCCCCATGGGGCTGTTTACTACAAGGACCAATTCGAGTCCACATAGCCCAGAAATGCCCATGGTGCCCCTCTGGGTCCCGGGCTGTTTGCCTCGGTTCTGCTGGCTCTAGGTCTAGATGCCTGGCCTGTCCCAGCACCCCCGCCCTTACCCCCACCACCCCGATCCTGTGCCCTGGGCCTGGCCCATACCTCCTGTGCCTGCAGGTGGCTGGGCTACTTGGGCCTGCTGCTGCTCGACGTCGCCATCTGCCTGCTGGTGTTGGTTGGCCTCATCCGCAGCTCCAAGGGCATCCTAGTTGGGTGAGTTGTGGGCCTGCGGCCTAGGGGAGGAGCCACAGCTCCTGCGTGGATGGACCCCCAGGTGTGCCCTGGGACCTGGCCTTCTGCCTGCAGCCTGGCAGCTGGCATGACCCCCCCACCTCCCTCCCCACCTCGTCTGGGGGAATGCTGATTGGCTTTCATTGCCCCCAGGGTCTGCCTGCTGGGGGTCCTGGCCCTGGTCATCAGCTGGGGTGCGCTAGGCCTGGAGCTGGCTGCGTCTGTGGTGAGTGGCAGCAGGGAGGGGTGGTCTTCGTCTGCTGGGCCTGGTCATGGGGCTGGGAAGCCATACTCGTCCCTCCCACCTCCCTTGGGATGTGAAGGCTGAGGGACCAGTCCTGTGCTTGGACACACAGCAAGCCAGTGCCCCCAGGGTCAACCTGACCCCAGGGTGGAGGGCCAGGCTCTGGCTCTGAGAGTGGAGGGCTGGGGAGGCCTAGCTTGGTCATCCCATTTTCCTTGCCTGCATCCATCCCAGGGCTCCAGTGACTTCTGTGTGGACCCCGACACCTATGTGACCAGGATGGTGGAGGAGCACTCGGTGCTGAGTGGGGGTGAGTGTGTGGCCGTGTCCAAGCTGACACCCAGGGGCTGGGCTGGGAAGACCCCACTGAGCAACGCCGATGCATCCTCGCCCTCGCAAACCCTCGGTTTGGGTCTCAGGGAGGCAGGACTCACCCAGAACAGGAAACTAGTGATTGAACAGTAACATCTTCGAGTGGGAGGCTCTGAGAATCATGGAGGCAGGTGAAATTGGGGAGGAGAGTGAGTGATGGAGGAAGCAGGTGATGATGGCTGCTCAGAGCAAGTAGTCAGGGTGCCTGCCAAAGAGGTGGCGTTAAAACTGAACCTGAAAAGGCTGTGCATCTTGTGCAAAGGCCCTGAGACAGAGACAAACTTGATGTGTTTGTGAGGCAGAAAGTAGACCTGTTGGGAGAAGAGAGGGTGGGCCAGGTTATGGTCAGGAACTTGGACTTTATTCCAGGAGCCCATTGGAGGTGGGGAGCAGGGGAAAGATGTGGCCTCTGATTGTGCCCTTCAAAGCTGCTTTGGGCTGCTGGAGCGGGGGGGGGG